GTGCTTCAGCTGCGCCTGCATCTATACGCGCATCAAAGAGCTTGCAGAGGCAGGCACCGGCGACATTCAGTGGTCCCAGCCCTTGAAGCCCAAGCCCAGCACCAACGAGCTCCGTTTCTTCGGCCGCCCTGTGCACGAGACGGCAAGCATCTTGGGCCTGGACGCCTTCTTGGAACGCTACGACCAACTGTCTAAGGAAGGTCACCGCCTCTCCGACCATGAGTCTTTCGAGGAATGGTCCGTGAGTTTACCCGGAGGAGAGAAGATTCTTTGCTGCCCCGAGGACAGTGAAAAGCGAGCGTGAAAGAGTTTCTCTCAACATGGGAGCCGTCTGCGTTTGCAATTTTATCCCTGTGTTGCATCTCCTGTCTGACTTCCGCGTCTTTTGTGATAGCCCCGTTGCCTGCAGGACCATCGCTGCCGTGCGCATCCAGCCCATGTCCATGATAGGCAACTTTGCGAAGGATGTGAGGTGCCGATTTGTCGCAAATGCCAAGAGAAGCTGGAAGAAGGCAAGCTGCCGCCTCTATCGTTGGCAAATGACATGTGGACAGGCTACGCGCCGCAGCGCTTGGTGGAGCAGAAGGTGACGGTGATGGAGGCCATCTGCGCTTGCCCTTGCGTCACCACGCTCATTTGCATGACCATGGAGGCGCGCTACGAGGACAATATCAAGCAGGGGGCCCGAGAAGCCGAGCCACTGAATTCCAAGGCGCAGATGGCCAGGCATCGCTTCGGCGCACGGGGGAACGCCCTCACATTCCCATTGCCCTTGGAGGAGCTTTTCCGGGCCTTGCAAGACCATGCGGCTGAGGTCGACGGGCAACGGCCCCTGCAACTCCCACGCGTGGGCAAGGAGCTTGAACACGTGGTCCGCGTGCTGCTAAAGACCAACAAGGAAGGAGCGACCACCGAGCAGGAAATTAAGACTTTGATCCATCAGGCGCTGGTTCGCCGAGAGGCCCGGGGTTGCGGAAAGAGGGTATACGCGCGCCCAGATTTTTCCAATGTTTATCGCGGTGATGATGCGTGTTGCAAAACCAAGAAATAACTCTCAGGTGGTGGTCGGACTCATCGTGGACATGCATCGCCTCGGGCACCCTTCGTATGCCAACCTGGATGAAGACTTGGTGCGGGAACGGGCCAAAGCCTTGCCAGAAGAAGGTGTTCCACCGGAAGTGCTGAAGGTTTTGCCGCGCTTGGACGGGGCGCAGGACAAGTTGCAACCGCAGAAGGCCGCTACGCCGTGTGACGGCATGGAGCCAACCCTGGAAGCCGGCCAAACTTTCGCGGCGCAGCGAGGCCGAGCCATCGTCGCAGAAGGGCTCAGCCGCCAGGATGCCAATGAGATCGCTGTGTCGGCCTTGCAGAACATGACAGAGGAGGTAATGACAAAGGCTGAGAAAGAAGCTGCAGCAGCGGGGCAAACATTGGAAATCAGAACGGGCAACAAGTTCTTGGACCAGTTCCAGCCGTACTACTTCGCAGAGGCCTTCCCGTTCTGCTTCAAATATGCCACGGCTTGCCCCGATGTTGCCAACACCACAAAGCAGCAGATGGAAGAGCAGGAAAGACAAAGTCGCCGGAAGGCCGACGCGCCAAAGGTGGGCATTGAGGACTGGGCTGCGGCGATGGCCAGGCGCGTGGAGACGCAGTTCCGGCGAGACTGGACTTTCAGCTTCACTGTCTGGAACTTCCTTTTCCGCACCATGGTGAACCTTCAGAAGAACACCTACATGTATGCAGTGCCAGACAGCACCGTGAAGGGCAACAAGCGCATGCTGACCAACAAGGAGATCTTGGACGGCGGCAAGGAGGTCGCCCAGAAGCTACACCACGGGCTGTACACCGACATCACCGGCGAGCTCAAGCCGGTCAAGGGGGACCTCAGCAAGGTGCCGCACGTGCCTGGTCTCAGCAACGCAGCCCGGATGCTTCTCAACAACCTGGAATGCAGAGCGCGCAACATCCCCGGCACCCATGAAACCCGGAAGACCATGCGGCACCAGACCCACGCCAACCGGATCTGCTACGGGACGGCCCTCTTCGTGACCTTCTCTCCGTCCGAGCGGGATACTACCTTGATGGTGCGACTCGCCAGAGCAAGGCAGTCCGACCCAGCGGTCCTTCAAGATGGCAGCGCCAAATTCCAGAGCAGAAGCAAACCCGAGCTTGATGTGGAATATTTTCGGCTTTCACCAGAAGCCCTGGCAGAGGACCGGGGCGGGGGGTGAAGGGGGCAACCTGAAAGGAATGCGACGCCCTTCAAATAGCACCGGACCCAAATTTAGATGGACTCGTTACCACGAGTGCCCCGCATATATAGGACCCAGGGGTTTTCTTCGACTTAAGCGCGTGCACCAGGAGTTGCCGAGCTACAAGGAGCGCCAGGCCCTGCTGGCGCGAGATCCTCTGGCGTGCGCCGAAGGCTTTCAAACCTTGGTTCTGTTGACCCTCCGGCATCTCTTCGGGGTGCGCTATTGCCGCCGATGTCCACATTGCGCCCAGTCAGAGAACCCCTGCACGGACGCTTTTGGTAGCAATGCCACGGCAATGGGTGGCGTGTTTGGCCGAATTGACGCGATCTACGGCTCCATCGAATGTCAAAAGTGTGGCACTCTGCACTTGCACCTGCAAGCCTTCCTTCAGTGCTACCATCAGGTCACGCCGTTGTCACAGCTCATCCACGTGGGCGAGAAGCGGCTTCTGGAGATGCTGCGGCGCTACAGCGACTATTCCGGCCACGTCCGCAGGATGATCTACAGCAACCCAGAGGCATGGGAGGAGGAAAGGGACGCGCTTGAAGCCGCTTGGCCAGAGTACAAAGATTGCGCCTTGATGAGCAGCCGGCCGTCGTACCAATGCGACAGCATCTTGGAGCCCGCAGCTTGGAAGGCAAGCTACCTGGCAACGAACGTGGAGGAGCTCCAGAAAAGGAAGCAGCACCATGTCCACCTCCCAGGCCCAGATGGCGAGCGCCGACCCCTCAACCACTGTCAGGACCCAAAAGATGCCACCAAGTGCAAGAGCGGCTTTCCGCGCACGCGTTGGGAGACTCCTGAACCTTTCCTCGTTTGCCCGCAGGAAGCACAGAAGCGCGGCATGCCGCACAAAGGCAAAAGGAGCATGACTGGGATGCCTTGGGGCCCCTGCAACGACCCCAACGTCAACGGCACGCACCCGGCCTTGCTGAGCGGCCTGAGGTGCAACAGCGATGTGCAGCTGCCATATCGCTTCCCTATCCTTCCTGCGACCCATCACAAAGAATGCACCGGTGAGTGCTGTCAAAATATCCGGCCCAAAGATCTGGTCAGGGATGCCCAAGTGACCCAGGCAGCACAAGCGGGCTATGCCGCCGACTACCAGAACAAGCGCCTGCCCATCGCTATGCACGAAGCCAAAGAGATGCTCAAGGCGCAGAACGACTTGGCAGAGGAGCTCAAAGACAAAAAGCCGGGCTACGTGGGGGCGCGGGTCAGCAAGCGCATCATCACGGACTGCTATGCCAGGGGCGTTTGCCGGGGCGCGGTGGAATGCAGCAACTTAACCTTGCACGCGAGCAGCAACGACCCCACGGCAGCAGAGACCGTCAAGACGGCCCAGGTAACGGAGATGTCTCTGCGGCACCCTCTGCGCTTGCTGGAAGCCGTCAGATGACGGATTGCCCGCGCTGGACCGTATATGGTGGCCGAGGCCGGTCTCCAGAGGCAGGACAAGATTAACCCATGCAATGCAGATCATGCAGTGTTGCATGGATTCACAGTAATTATGTTAATGTTGTTTTATGCTTTTCTTTGCATGGGTGATTGAACTTAGGCTTCATTTGCTCCCTTTTCTTCCTCTCAGGTACACGGGCTATCTGCCTACGAATTCGCCCGGCACTATTACATGAAGCAGGGCCGCTACCCACTCACACCCCAGAGGCAAGAGGCACACGTGCAGAACCCAGAGCTGTACGAAGCGCAGCTGACAGGGGCCGGCATTCACAAGGTCACTGCGGGCTTCAGGCCAAAGCTGGTGCCTGGCTCGGATTACCAGATCAGGGAACAAGGTGGTGAAGATTGGCTTCCGCTTGGCCATGGTGTGCATGCGGAGCCCTACAGGCACGACTGGGTCATCGCACGCAGGAAGCGCCCCTATGTGCCAGTCATCTACGGCGCACAAGGAAGCAAGACGGACCAAGAGCAAGCCATGCGGCTCCTAGTTCTTTTCTTTCCTTGGGTCAATGATGCCCGGGACGCCACCCATGAAGTACCTTTCATCGGTGACTTCTGGCAGAAAGACATGAAAGACTGGCGCCACGCGCTGCGTGCACGGGTCTGGCAGGCCCGCGGCTTCCCGACGGAGGAAGTGCGGCACCTTGTGCTGAACTTCTGCTTCGTGTATTTCCTGCCGCGTGGTCTGGCCCTGCAGGATGACTTGGCACCAAACAGCGACAACGAGGTGGAAGAGGACGATGTGGTGCTGGAGCTTGACAAGGATGATTTGGAAGACGTCATCGTCACCCACGTCCGGGGCGCTGGGGCCCCAGCTGTGACAGCAAGCCAGAGCGACGATGAAGAGTCGGAGGAGGAGAAGCCATCAACCACGCTCCACGATCTGACCATGGACATGTTCCGCCGCTCCAATGCCATCTGGCTGGCGCCGCACAAGCTGAGCAAGGCCGACCCGGTGGCAGCCAAGGTGTTCATGCAAATGCAAGCCGCGTGCCCTGTCCGTGACCATGGCATGGCACAGCAAGCCGCCAAAGCCTCAAAGCATCAGGGTGAGGAAGGCCCCGACGCAGTTCGAAACACGCCAGGCGATGAAGGATCGGTCCTACCCTTGCCGCCGCTGACAAAGCAAATGCTCGATGACTTCCTGCACAGCGACCGCGTTCGCAGAGACACCAACCCAAAGCAGCTGGAGTTCTTGGAGCTGGTGGTGGACAGGATCATGGTTGAGCTGGGCCTGATTACAAAGGAGGAGTCGAAGAGGAAGAGCGACGAGCCTTTGCGCTGGTTGCTGCACGGTCCCCCGGGCACCGGGAAATCCCATGCCTTGAAGTACGTGAAGGAGCTCTTTCAGATGATGGGCTACACGTACGGCTTGGACTTTGAGGTCGTGTCCTTCCAGACGGTCAACGCAGCAGACTTAGGTGGCAAGACCATCCACAAAGCGTTCGGTTTCGGCCAATTCCCTGACCTCAGCAGCCCCTGCAACCCAGAGGTCGCCAAGCGGATGGCGCATTGGCGCTGGCTCATCGTCGACGAAATCAGCCTCACGGACGCCATCCTCCTCGCCAAGTCGGAGCACAGGCTTTGTTCGGAGGTTCCCGAAGCTGGGCAGTGGAAGCACGATGGGGATGGCAGGCTGAGGCCCTTCGCCGGAGTCAACGTCATCTTGACGGGCGACTTTCACCAGCTGCCGCCGGTATCTGGACCAAACCTGGCCGTCGTCCCATGCAGCTTGAGCGGCAAGTCGCCAGAGAACGCCTGGGCAGAACGCGGCAGAGAGCTGCTTTGGGGCGGCGCGGTGCAAGGCGTCACGGAGCTGACGGATCGCGAGCGCTGCAAGGACGAGTGGTGGAACGAAGTGGTGGAGGAGCTCCGGGCAGGGCGGCTTTCGGAAAAGAACTGGCGCTATTTGCTTGGGCTGCCCGTGGAAGGCTGCGCACTGTCACCGGAAGAGAGGGCATCACGGTGCCGGGTGATCTCTGGCCCTGACGATCCGCGGCTCCAGGATGAGAAGTTTATGGAAGCCGTGGCGATCGTCGCCAACAACGACGCACGCTGCCAAATCAACAAGGACAGAGCCCGTTGGTTCAGCAAAGTTTCTGGGTCCCCGCTTTATTGGGCGCAGGCCGTGGATAAGCGACAAGGCGACCAGGAAGAGGCACGCTCCACAACAAATAGCCAAACAGAAAGCAGCAAACTCAATGAACCACATTGGCAAACACAAATAAGTAGCCGTTGTACCCATAGGTTGGCAGCAGTGCAAGGGGGGCGCGTGTTGCAAGTTAATTGCGGGTTTTGTTCTCGGAAAGAAACGTATAGCGAGTATAGCGTGAATCGGCGTGCTTCCCCGTGCAGGTGGCTGACCTACCACGACAAGGACACCAAGGGCTTGCCGGGCATGCTCCCCTTAGCGGTTGGCATGCGGGTAGCGCTCACAGAGAAATTGGATGAGTCGCCGGAGAAGCGGCTCCTCATGCACAGCACGGGCCGCATCCACTCCTGGGTCTGGGCGGTCAATGCGCCGCACCCCTCGGTCGTCTATGTGAAGTTCGATAATGCCACATGGAAGTTGAACGGCATCGACGAGCCCGGCGTGTACCCGGTCAGGCCATTGGAAAGGACGTGGTACTTGGACAGCAAGCGCCAAAAGCAGGTGCTAGGGGTCAAGAGAAGCCAGCTGCCGCTGACGCCTGCATATGCCATGACGGCGCATGCAAGCCAAGGGAAGACCTTGCCGGCCGTGCTCTTGGACCTCTCCGTCGACAAGCGTGTGGACATTACCTTTGGCGCGGTGGCTTCCAGCCGGATCCGCAGCCGCTACGACTGCTTGATCCTGCGCAGTTTTGAACACTGGCTCTTTGAGCGCGGCGTGTCGGAGGGCCCGCAGCTCTTGATGCAGCAGCTTAGGGGCGAAAGGGTCGATTGGATGGCCTACAAAGAAGGCCTCGCTCCTTGGGCCACCTGCCGACACTGTTTCCAGGTCAAGACGCTCGACTTGTACGAGCACGAGCAATGGGAGCACGTCCGCGCCAACAGGCCGGCAATGTGCATGCAGTGTAAACATGGAGATCACGGGCCCAAGGCCCGCAAGCTGGACAGGGGTACGAAAAGGATTGCCTGCAGCTCTTGTCGAGTCCACAAGATCGAGGATGGGTTCCCCCGGGCCCAGCTCAAACAGATAGGCAACGAGAAGTGCCTGACGTGCTGCCAAGCCATCAAGCGCCCGCATTGCTGTGAGTGCCGCCAGACCAAGGGCATCGAGCACTTCGCCCCCACCATCATAACCTTCCCAGCAAATGGCGTGGTTTGCACAGCTTGCCAGGACGCGGTGAAAGGGAAAGGTTTCAAGAAGGAACGCAAGAACTGGTTCAGGTGCCGAAGCTGCGGCGAATTTCTCCCAAGCAGCGTCAGCCCTGATGGCAAGGAGCGGTGCCTCAACTGCGCCACTCGAGGGACCCGGCAGAAAGATGAACAGACCTGCCGCGGCTGCAAGCGCAAGTGGCATGAGAAGCAAGTAAAGGGCCAGCGGCGCAAGCGGTTCTGCCCTGAGTGTCGCCGTTAATAGCTTTAGACCAATGCGTTGCCTGCCTTGACGCACAGGCTGCGGGGAAGCAAGCTTGCGTGGGCTGCCCGGTTTCACCATTGGACAGCAGCGGGCCCCCGGATGTTCAAAACAAACACAGATAGCGTTGCGCTCGCGTTGCTGAAACATATCAATGGGGATCGTTGTTGCCAAAACATGATAGATACCGAACGCAACCAAAGGAGATCTTTGAAGCACATGCATGCGCTGCCCGGTTTCTCATCTGCACAGCAGCGGGCGCCAGCACCCAACAGTGGAAAAAGTGCGCGCAGCGACTTCTGCATGTGACATCGAGAGCTGAGTTGAATATCATGGCCAAGGCCAGGCAGGTGCCAACGGGATTCTGCGCTCATTGACTTGCAAATGTTGTTTGTAATCAGTGACCCTTGTTTGCAGAAGCTCGGCTGATTGATTCACCGTATGCATCCGCCTGCCAAAGGGCTCTCAGGTGTGCTTTTCACCGCCCATTGATCTCGTGAGGCTGCGCCGGCCATGGTAGCACAAGGAGCGCTTTTCCTCAGCTTTGGGTGGTGGCAAATCTGGTAACTTGGCAGCAAGCAGCAACCGCAAAACAAAGCACAACATGCTAGTTTCAGAGGCTCCAGGTTGGGGCATAGAGCTCACAAATAACAAAAACAGCGGGTTTTCAGGGGCTGCCACTTAGGGTCTGATGGGGGGTCACTTTCGTCTCTGTAGCCATTTTCGCTCCCAAATGAAAAGCCACCGCTGTGAGAGCGCGCGTGCGGCGCATGTGGGAAAACCGAGTCAGTGGCCTTGCCTGGTCCGGGTGCCAACGGGCACGCAAAGGCGCGTCCGGCAGCGTTGTTCTCGCGCGTTTGTCAACTTTTTCCGGTGTTTTTTTTTTGCATTTTTCCTGGGTTTTGGTCCCGCTTGGTGGCCTCCCCCGTCGTTTGTTTAGTGCTGCTCACATGGGGTCTTCGCAGATCGCCTGCTGCAAAAATTAATTGTTTGGAAAAAACAACTCAAACAGGAAAAACTTGCAAAAACACGCGGTTTTTCCCCAATCCGCTTAGGGCGTACAATGATGTAGTGCACGGCGCTAGCCAGGCATCACAGTAAAAAAGCCAAAAAAGCAAAAAACGCGAGGTTTTACCCAATCCGCTTAGGGCAAAACATGAAAAACTTGCAAAAACACGAGGTTTTTCCCCAATCCGCTTAGGGCGTACAAGCTTGCACCTTCCCCCAATCCGCTTAGGGCGTGGGGTAACAAAAGAAATTTTTCCTTCTCTTTATGCGGTGTTTTCTTTGGTTTTGCACAACTGGAGGTTTGGCCTGGGCGACAACCTGTGTTGTCGGACCCTAAACCCTAAACCCTAAACCCTAAAACCCTAAACCCTCAACCTTCAAACCCTAAAAGCAATTCTGGCATTCATCATATTTTTAATTATGTCACTATAAAATGATATTAGTTTAATAAATCGAAAAATCTGAAAATTGAAAAAGAAAAAATATATCGATTTAATATGGATTTTATTTCCCAAATAAACAAATTAAAAATGCATGATATTAAATATTGCAATTAAAAATATATCATCAATATTGTCGCAATTAGCAAATTCATCACCAACAAACCCAGATCCAACTTATCGTCAATAGCAATAAGCGCAACGGCAACCACAACAAAAAAATCATAAATATAATCAACAAAATAAAAAAATAAAAACCACAAACAAAAAACAAAAAATAAACAGACGAACAATGCAGAGAAAAAACAACAAACAACACCAACAACACCAACCACAAACACAACAACAACAACCATAACAACAAGCACCACAACAACAACATAAACAATAACAACGACAACAATAACAACAAAAAAGCAACAAGAGCAAAATCAAAGAACAACAACAACAACAACCACAACTACAACCACAACTACAACCACAACCACAACCACCACCACCACCACAACAACAACAACAACAACAACCACAACCACAACCACAACCAACCAACAAAGACGACGACAACCAACCAACCAACCACCCAGCCAGCCAGCCAACCACCCAGCCAGCCAGCCAACCAACCAGCCAGCCAACCACCCAGCCAGCCAGCCAACCAACCACCCAGCCAGCCAGCCAACCAACCAACCAAACAACGACAACAACTACAACGACAACAACAACAACGACAACAACAACAGCAACGCAAGAAAAAGAACAATCAACAGCATACCGAAAGACAGACAAACAGACAAGCAAACAACAAGCAAGCAAGAAACGAACAAACAACAAGCAGGGATGAGAATATAGAAGCCAGGTTGCAGAGAGTGGTGGCGGACTATCTGCAAAGACGGAACAAGCCCACTCGACCTGGGACTTATGCACCTTCACCCCTTCAACGAGCACAGACGGCCACGAAGGGCGCTCTCGACCCCAGGCCGCGAAGTTACCCTCCCAAAGGCGCAAAGGCGTGAGAGTAACTTCTACGAAGGCGCTGTGGGGAAGAGGTCTGTACAAGTCTCCAGGGATCATACGGCTTCTCACCCAGCGACCAACTGCGAGTTCCATCTCGATTGGTCCCGCTTGAGTCCCAGTGCGCGCGAGGCTCACAGGGCTTCCAATGCCTTTGTTGCCGGGACTCTAGCAGGACCAAAAGTAAATGCAAGATAGCCAGCCGCCCACTTGTAACCTTTGGCATATTCTCATCCGTGCATTCGCAAGCAGAAGCAGCAAAGAAGACAAGGGACAGACAAGACAATTATGACCAAATTAAATTTGATATTTGAATTCATTTCTTCATTTTTCATTAAAATAATCATTTGAAAAATTGAAATATATTTCAACATTCAGAATTTAAATATCCAAATCAAAACCCATAAACAATATTTACCAGTAGTACCCGCACGAGGCGGGGCGGAAGTTGCCTTAAAGATATATATATATGAGACCTTTCTCATCTATAGAACTTGCATGCGCCGTGCGCCAGCCAAGCCCGTGCGTGCGTGCACTCCGCGAAACATGGTGTCGTGTTGCGCATGTCACATTTGAAGCTCCACGTCACACTTCACACTTGACAGTCTTCACACTTCACACTGCACCCTTCGCAATCAACACTTCACACTTCTCACTTCACACTGCACTCTCCCCAATCTACACTTCACACTCCACACTTCACACTTCACAGTCCACACTTCACACTTCTCACTTCTCATTGCTTTCTTCACACTCCACACTTCACACTTCACACTGCACTCTTCACGCCCCACACTTCACACTGCACTCTTCACACTCCACACTTCATCTCATCTGAGCTCTTCTCGGCGCTTCTGCACGTCAGCAAGGTTGAGCGTAACTCATGTTGGTTCTTCTACATGCCAAAAGGCGTAAACCAGAAAATATTTACAATATTAAGGTCATTAATGCCAAGCGTTGATGCATTGCATCAAATCGCAACGGCAAGTGTGAACATGGTGTAGTTGTTACCTGTCAAGGAGATTCACGCAGTCCAAGCTCGACAGCTGCTTTTTTCTCTGCGCTACACTTGGTCGTCTAGGCTTTTGGCAGCTTTTCGGCCCGCACTGGCACGAAAGGCTGGAGAGCTTATCACGTTGGAAGCCTGGTTGTCCGTCATGGCACTTCACGAAGCAAATCAGGCAAGAAGTTCTCACTATCCGCAATGACATTGCGGACCCAAGCTGCATCTGCTTGCGACAAACGACATCCTGCACCTGCTCGGCAAGCATTCAACAACATGGCCGCAGCGTGCACACCATCATCTGTCAGGGCAACGCAGCGCTGTTCTGCCAAGGTATCGTCTTGTTCCGTGCAAACAGTTGTCAAGGCTTCGAAACAACCAGCGCAGAGTCCATATTTGAAGTAACCCAAACCAATATTCCTGCGCTCCTCGGTTGGGATACTTCGTCTGCACGCGAAG